GGGCAAAGAGGAGCACAGCTGTGGGGCTTCTCACCTGGGAAGGGAGCAGCACACACCCAAGCCTGGTGGAAGGAGGAGTGGGGTGGCCCTCTGCTCAGAGCTGAGGGTGCTGGGTGTGGGAGGACCCAGATGTGAGGGATGGAGACAGACAGCAGCGTCTCCCAGGCTCTGAAGCTGCCAAGGAGACACTGACTCGATTCCTACCCAGTGCTTTATTAAGGATGTCTCAGAAGGAGGCAGAAACGTGAGAGTGCACTGGAAAAGTGACACCCATGTGTGTGACACCCACGCGCTCCCTGATCTGTACTCGGAGAAGGTCAGCCAGGCAGGGCCTGCACCAACCAGGAAGGCAGACAGGTGGGGCCCGCGTCCGGCTCACTGCTCCTGGGTGCCCCAGGAGATGTAGTCGGGCCGCGTGGCTGCATGGTATTCATCAATGAGCTGCTGCACAATCTCGCGAGATGTGTCCATCTCATCAAAGTTGTCCTTGAAGATGTCCTCCTTGCGGAACTGCTCCATGAAGGCCTCCCGCTTCCGCAGCTTGTCAAACTGGCGACAGGTACGCTCAAAGAGCTGGGGTGCAGGGAGCAGGGGTCACAGGGAAATTGAGGAGTGGGCGGCATAGGGGGCTAGGCTCACAGGGCGGGCAGGAGTGCAGTAGGGACTGACTAGGACAGACCCAGCCCCGCTCACCGAGGAGATGCTGGTGTGGTTGGCCATCATGAGCCCGCTGACCCGGTGGGCGGACGGCAGGTACGGGGACTTCCTGGACAGCGCCACCTGGATGCTGGCCGGGCCCCAGGGGATGAAGCTGGCCAGCTTCCGCTCCCGGATCCTCTGTAGGCTCTTGTGCACCTGGGCGGGCACAGGGCTCGGTGGCCGCCTCTCCTCTGCCCAGGGCACGGGCCAGGAGGGGCGGAGGGCTGGCACCTACCTGGGTGGGGTCCACCTCGCCCTGGATGATGTTGAGGATGGCGATGTAGCAGTGGTTGGTCTGGCGGTCCCGGCCCGTGGACACCATCACGTTCTTGGGCTGTAGCAGCCGTCGCATCACGTCCAGGACCGTGGTCTTCCTCACACTGGCCACCTGAGGCCGGGGCAGGTACTCAGGGCACCGCGGGGACGCGTGGCAGAGGCCCAACCCCAAGAGCCCGGCACAGGGCGGCCTGGAGAGCCCCCTGGGGTCCCCTCTGCCCTGGGTCGGGGCCTCAACCCCGGCCGGAGGCTCGGCCTGGCGCGGGAGCAGCCCGGAGGCAGAGGGGGCGCCCAGCTGGCCGCTCACCGACTGGTCCGTGGTGAGCGGGGTGTAGCCGGTCATGAGGAAGTGCAGGCGCGGCGTGGGGATGAGCGAGGCGATGAGCCCGATGAGGTCGTTGTTCATGTAGCCGGGGTAGCGCAGGGTGGTGGTGCTGGCCGACATGATGGTGGACACCTGTGGCGGGGTGCGGCGTCACGGCCGGTCTGCGGGGCCCGGCTCCCTGGGGGCCCCGGTGGCGCGGCACGGGGGGCTCCCGGTCCGGTCCAGGGGCCGAGGAGCCTGCTCACCAGCTGGTTGATCTGGGAGAAGGACGGGTTCTGGATGTGCAGGCGGTCCGTGGCGATCCGGTTGAGGGCCGTGTTGTCCAGCACCACCTGGGGGCGAGGAGACCGCAGCCCTTCTCAGAGCAGGATGGCCCAGAAGAGAAGCTTCGCCTTCGCCTCCACTGCCGCCCAGACCGGAAGTGGGCCAGTTACTTAAAAGGAAAGGATGGCTTTGGGCAGCAGCACTCATTTTGGCCCATGGGACAGTAAGCAAGCCTGTGAGTGCCCCAGTGTGCCACACAGTGCCTGGCCTGTCCACTCCACCTACAGCACAGCGCAGGGACACAGCCGTTAAATACAGAACAGGCTGGGGCGGCCCAGACCTGGCTTCAATCCCCAGCACTAGAACCAGTCAGTGAGAAGTGGCTATCTCGCTGGGTGTAATGGCACACACCTGTAGTCCCTGCCCTCAGGAGGCTGAGGCGGGAGGATCACCTGGAGTGCAAGGCCAACCCAGGCTACTTAGTTCAAGGCCTGCCTAAACTGTATTACAGGACCCTGTCTCAAAAAAGGTATCGCGAACAACCTGAAATATGCAGTCTGATGTTAACTGGGAAGCTCTGCTAAGGCAGCGACCCCGATCTGAGAGTTCACATAGGGTGAGCACAGTTCACACAGAGCGGGGGCGAGGGATGGCAGGGCATATTCGCTCTGTTGGGTCCTGGTGCCCCTAGGGAGAGGGAGCCGCATGGAGGTCAGGGCCTATTTCATGACCCGGCCCACTCAGGGCTCTGTGGGGCTCGGTTCTCCGGGGTCCGGGACTGGAAAGTGAGAGCAGCAGGGAGAGCCTCCTCCTCCGGCCTCACCACGCAGTCCGCGTTCTGGGTCAGCCGCTTGAGCGTGAGCAGGGAGTTGTAGGGCTGTACCACCACGTCGCTCATCTCGTCCTGGTTGGGGAACACCGAGTACGTCTGCACCAGCTTCTTGGGGTACCTGGGGGTGAGGAAGAGGAAAGGGGAGCGGCGCATAGTGATCAGGACAGACCCCCAGGTCCTCCTGAAGTGCCCCTGAGCTCTGTACACCTGGGGTGGGACAGAGGGGCAGGGACAATCACAGCACCCGGGCCCCTCCCTCGGCCACCTCCACAGTCCCGCTCCTGCTCCCACTGCGTGTGTCCTCAAACACAGCTCACCTGTCATTCAGCCGCTCCAGGAGGTAGGAGCCCAGGCCAGAGCCCGTGCCCCCGGCGATGGAGTGGCACAGCACGAAGCCCTGTGTGGGGACAGGCGCAGAGACAGTGGCCAGGAGCCGGGAGCCTCAGGGTGTCCCTCCCCACCACACACCCCCCTGACAGCTCAAGCTTCCTGTGTCCACCCAGGCCAGAGGCTCCTGGGCTGGTTCAGAGCCAGGCAGAGGGTGAATAACTCACGACTGGTTATGACCTCCGTGAGGAGAGGCACCCTCCCCACCTGCATACCCCAGATGGTGCTCAGTATCCCACACTAACCGACTGAATGACTTTTCCAAACTCAGGACTGAGTCTGGGGCCTTTGTTCTGAGCTACACCTCCAGGCCTTTTTAAATTTTTTATTTTGAGACAAGGTCTCATCTCACTAAGTTGATAAGTAGTCAAACCTGGGCTCAAACTTGCACTTTTCCAGCCTCAGCCTCCCAGAGTGATAGGATTACAACCCTGCACCACCACAACCCGCCCGCCTGCCTGCCTGCCTATTTTGTAGCACAGGATTAAACCCAGGGCCTTTGCACTGAGCTATCTCTTCAGGGCTTTTAACAATATTTTGGGGGGGGGGCTGGGGATTTAGCTCAGTGGTTTCGCCACCTGCTGTGCAAGTGCAAGGACCCGAGTTCAATCCCCGGTACAAAAAAAAAAAATTTTTTTTGAATTAGGGCCAGGGATTTAGCTCAGTGGTTGCGCTGCCTGCCTAGAAAGCACAAGGTCCCGCGTTTGATCACCGGTACAAAAAAAAAAATTTTTTTTAAATTCTGGGAGCGGGTCTTGCTAAGTCATTGCCCAGGCTGGACTTAAACTTGCAATCCTCCTGCCTCAGCTTCCCAGAGTGCTAGGGTCACAGGCCTGTGCCATCGCAGATTCAGGCCACCATCCCTCTTGAGCCTCTTCCCGGACACCCCAGGAGAGGAGAACCTCACCTCCAGACTGTCGCTCCCGTCTGCCTCTCGGTCTATGATGTCAAAGATGTCCTCATGGATCTTCTCCCCCTGTATGGAGACAGGGAAGAGAGGGTAAGGCAGAAGACTCTCTCTTCGGCTCCACCCTGGGGCTCTGTTGCCTCTGAAGTGACCTAGGTGCAGCCGGCAATTTAGAAATGGTTCGTGCACGGCCTGCACTGCGTCTGCCTGGACCCCCCAGGCGTCCCTCTGCTCAGGGTTTCCCCTGGTCTTATTCACTGTCCCTGTGGTCTGGCCAAGTTCCCGGATGGCCGGAGCCGCCCTGCCCGGGGGCGGAGGGGCCACACCTGGGAGAAGCCCCGCGCCCAGTTGTTGCCGGCGCCGCCCCCGTGCTCCGACAGGTAGATGTTCTCGGGGTTGTAGAGCTTGGCGTAGGCGGAGTTCTGGATGGAGTGGATCACGCGGGGCTCTAGATCCAGCAGCACGGCCCGGGGGATGTAGTGCTCGTCGTCCGCCTGCCCGGGGAGGCCGGGGGGGGCGGGTCACTGAGGGCGGCCGGACCCCGACCCCGCAGCCCTCACCTCAGCCCGCGCCCGGCCCCGTCGCCGGCACCTGGTAGAAGAAGACATCCTTGCGGTCGGTGCCCTCGGTGGCGAACTCCTCCACGATGCCCTCGGGGCTGATGCCATGCTCGGCGCACAGCTGCTTCCAGAACTCGAAGCCGACTGCGGGCGGGGAGGAAAGTGGATATTTGGGTTGGGCAGGCTCCAGTGGGCAGTTGGGGGCTGGAGCGCCTGGGTCCAGGGACAGGACGGCGGAGCATCGCAGGAAAGGGCGGTCCCCAGCGACCGGGCAAAGGAGGGCCTGGGGGTTGGGCAACTGGACGCTGGGGTGGGCACTCCCGCCTTCAGCCGAACTACGACTCTGGGGAGTACAGAGGGAGTCCAGGCTCCCACAGTGACATCCCGTTCAACCTAAGGGCTGAGGCTAACGGAGGGGCCGGAGTTCGCTCACTCTGATTGCCGCACTGGCCCAACTGTAGAGTGATGATCTCCCTCGGCATCGCTCCTCAGGCACTAGCGTTGCAGCTGCTCACGCCAGCACGCTCGCCGGCCCGCTTGCGGAAAAGACGCAGGCGCCAAACAACCCGCGGCTCCCGCGAACTTTCTCTGTTCCAATGAGAACTGAGCTCTGGAGATGGCACTTCCTTAATCCTGTGGCTTCGGTTCTGCCGACTGCGCGTGCGCCTCGGGACGTTCTTTGACGCAGCGTCCTCCCCTTTCCTCTACGTGGGGCCGCTGGACCCTATGTGCATGCGCGTCGCGAGGAGAGGCGGTTTTCGGGCTCGGCGCGTCTGCGCAGTTGGTGTTATTGTGACCGCCTCTCGGCGGCCCCGGATGTTGTGGCTGCTCGGGGGGGAGATGGCGGAGCCTACGGGGCTGACCGCGGCCCCGGACCCTGTGGCGGCGTCGGCTTTTAGGGGCCACCGAGCCCAGTCAGGTTCCTGGGAGCGCGACCAGCAAGTGGAGGCGGTGGAGCGGACCTTGGTGCAGGTGCTCGGCCCGTACGAGCCGCTGCTGAGCCGGCTGCAGGCGGCCCTGGTGTGGGAGCAGCCGGCCCGGAGCGCCCTGTGGTGCCTGGGACTGAACGCGGCTTTCTGGTGAGACAACCGGACCCGGAGCTCGCCCGGGTGCGCGCCGTCAGGTTCCCGGGCTCTGCCTCTCGCCTCCCTGCTTTCCTTGCTGGCTTGCTCCTTCCCGCGCCTGTCTTCGTTTCGCCGCGATCCTTATTTCCGCCCCATCCAGCCTCCAGCTGTGGCGCCCCGTCCTTCCCAGGGCCCCCAGCTGCGCCCCTCTGGCTGGGGCCTCTGGGAACATCTGGAACGAGGCTGCCTCTCTCAGCCAGGGGAAGCTGTTTGGCTCTAAGGCCGTCACCTCCCTTGTTCCCTGCCCCAGCTGAGGTGGTGACTGTTCTGAGATCTCTATAGTGACGGTGGGAGGAGACGCTCGAGGTCTGACCTAGGCGCCCCTAGGTGTGATGCGAAAACAAGCTAGATGGGTTAGCGCGAATTAGCATCCGAAATATGCGCGCCCGGTTCATCCAGGGAGGGGTGAAGCCCGAACGTCAGTGCGAGCCTGCCAGGTTGCAACTCGGAGAAAAGTATACGTTTTTAAAGGACAGTTAGGAAACAGTGTGTGGGGCATCTCACCCGTTTCCAAAGCGACGTGTAATTGCATCTCCAACCTGTTCCAAGAAGTTAGAGAGGGGGGAATTCTCAGGCACAGTTTACAGCAACAACATGGAGGCTGTCTGATGGTGAGAGTTTCCAGAGCTGGACGCCTGGGGCTAGAAATAAGTCTGAAGTGTCTGAGTATGTCCCACTCGAGGAAAGCGGGACAGCTGCTCCTTCCCAGTCGTCACCACCTCAGTGGACTCAGGTCATCTACCACGCATAGCTGGTGACTGTTAACGACCTGGAAGTCTTGCTGTTCAGATGTCAAAGGAGCTGACAGGTAGGAGGTTTCCACAGCTGACTGAAAGAAGACTAATCTGGAAAATCACGAAAGTACAAAGTATGTGATTTTTAGCATTGTCTTTTGTAAAAATGGCTTTCTTGAAGTTCTTGGTTTTAAAATCAAAACATTATCCTTTGTCTGAAAACATTTTCAGTGAACTGGAACAGAACAAATAATTCCAAGTTCAGTGACTGGAAGACATTGTTCAGTTTTGAAGTCAGCCCCTCACAGTTTGAAGGAGGCCTAAGTTACAGGTGCCCCAGCAGCCCTGGCAGTCTTGCTCCCAGAGTCCTCAGCAGACTCTTTAGTTGCTGTTTGAGATAGAGTCTCTCTCTGTCATTCAGGCTCGCCTCAAACTCTTGGGGATACTCCTTCCTCAGTCTCCTGGGTGCTAGGATCACAGGCCTGCACCACCAAGCACAACCATCATCACCTATTTTTGGTAATCCTTTTTCTTGGTCCCAGGTGCCAACTTCCTGGCACTGCTCATTGTTAGATATGGGATCTCATTCAGGAATCCTTACCCAGTCAAAACTATTTCCCACTGGGGATCGGAACCCCTGGGAAGAAATTGGTCCTCACTAAAGTTTGTTGAATGTGGGCTCAAGGTCTGCATAGGAGGAGCTGATTGACTGGGCAGGACTTTAAATTTGGTAGTGAAAGCCGGGCGTGGTGGTGCACACCTGTAATCCCAGCACTCCGGAGGCTGAGGCAGGAGGATCGCCAGGAGTTTGAGGCCAGCCTGGGATGTATAGTGAGTTCGAGGCCTGGCTGAACTACATAGCTAGACCCTGTCCCACTAAATTAATTAATTAATTAATTAATTAATTAATGTGATAGCTTTAATTTTTTTTTTTTTTGAGACAGAGTCTCACTTTGTAGTTCAGGTGATGGGGAGGACAGACTGTGCTAGGCTCCAGTAGGGCATCTGGCTTTGGAATTTGCAGCCTTTGGGGAAGGGAGCTTCCTTGGAGTGCTGACATTTACCTTGGAATGTGGAAAGGTGACTTTAGTTCTCATGTATTTTAAATGTTTGAGAAAGAAGGAGGATCATTAGCACAGGTCAGAAAAATCAAATCTGACATACTTAATTTTTCTTTATTTGTTGTGAATAATGGCACATCATTAATAAATCTTTTGGCCATTTGAGGTATTAGAAGATTGGATAGGAGTACAAAAAAGTATTGAATTCAGGTAGGTAGCTCTCTGAGTGTTCCATACTTTCAGTCATGGCTTTGCTGTACCTGTGAATGTGGTCTCTTACATCTTAAATAGATGAGTAAAAGAGACCTCTTAGCCTGTCACCTGTAGCATTTCAAGGCACCCCCCCCCCCAGGTTCCAGAGGAATTATGGTGGCTGTGGCAGGGGTGTTCTAGCCCGGACTACTTCTGGTCACTGATGTGTCATTATCTCTAGTAGAAACAACAAGTTTTCCCTTCTGATAGATTGTGCCCCCCACCCCCGATACTGGGGATTGAACCCAGGGCCATCACACTTAACCACATCCTCAGGCCTTTTTAGAAACTTTTCACATACCTATAACCCCAGCACTCAGGAGGCTGAGGCAGGAGGGTCACTATGAGTTTCAGGCCATCCTGGGCTACAGAATGAGTTCAAGGCCAGCCTGAACTACATAGTGAGACCCTGTTTCAAAAAATCAAAAAGTTTTTTTTTAATTTTGCACCAGGGTCTCATTAAGTTGCTTAGCAAGTTCTTAACATTCTGTGATTCTAGGTGTTCTCTGAATTAGGGAAACTGAGTGCAGTGCACAAACTGATTCCCGTGGAGATCTCCACTGGGGTCTGCTTTACAGTGACTAGTGTGAGTTAACCTACTGTAGGTCTGGGAGTTGTTATGGAATCTGTTGTTTTCACAAATGAAGGAAAAAAAGATGTTTCCCCTTTTGCCCCCTAGAAAACAAAAAATAAGCTGGGTGTGGTGGCGCACACCTGTGATCCCAGCACTCAGGAGGGTGAGGCAGGAGAATCATTCAAGTTCCAGGCCAGCCTGGGCTACACAGTGAGTTCAAGGCCAACCTGCACTACATTGTGAGACTTTGTCTCAGAAAACCAAAAAAAATTTCCTGAGAAGTGATTAAGGAATTCTGATTTTAAAAGAATCTAGTAGGACTGTGGAAATCAGTGTAGAGATACCGCAAAGAACTAGGACTAGAGGTACCATTTGACCCAGCTATTCCCCTGCTGGGTATCTTCCCCAAAGAATTAAAAGAATCATACCACAGCGATATAAGCTCACCCATGTTTATAGTGGCACAGTTTGTAATAGCTAAAGTTTGGAAACAGCCCAAGTGCCCATCAACTGGAAACTGGGTAAAGAAGATGTGGTTTTTTTATAAAATGGAGTACTATTCAGCCATAGAGAACAAGAAACTAGAGACATTTATAACTAAATGGGTGCATATCGAGGCCGTACTCTTAAGTGAAATCAATAGGACACACGTGTAAATACTGAATAGTTTCTCTAGAGTGAGAAACTGAAAGTGTAAATAAGGAGTAAAATGATTAAAATGAATAATTGATAATTTGATATAGGAAAAGGTCCAAAGGTGTAGGGGTTGGTGGGAGGGGAAGGGGAAAGGGAAGAAGGGAAAGGAAAAATTATGAGAAAAGGAAAAAAATGGAAACAAAATCTATGTAAATAGGGAAGGGCACACAGTTAATGGGAAAAAAATAAGAACCAAAATACATCATGGACAGCTACAAACACCCAATGATAAATGTAAACATACTGTATGCCTAAAATGTACCAATAAAAGAATTTAAGAAAAAAAAAAGAATCTGGTAGGGTGTGGTGGCACATGCCTGAAATTTCTGCTACTCAGTTCAGTAGTTTGAAGCCAGCCTGGCAAATAATTGAAACCCTGTCTCATAAGAAACAGGACTGGGGATGTAGCTCAATGGTAGAGTACCCCTGCATTTGATCCCCAAAGTTTTTTTGTTTGTTTGGTACTGAGGATCAAACTCAGGACCTTGTGCTTGTGAGACAGGTGTGGTGCCACTGAGCTAAATCCCCGGCCCTTGATCCCCAAAGTTTGTTACTGCAAACAAGTAAATATAAAAAACTGAAGTTAGGATCTAAGTAAAAATTAGCGAGGAACAGGAAATGGAAGGAAAAATCTACACATCAGGCCTGAGATCAGCGGTGTCTGGGGCCGTCTTTGGGGTGTCGCTGCCCCTGGGAGCCGGGGAGCCACCAGGGATGTCTTGTTAACTTTCTGCCTCTTTGCCCTCCTATTGCAAGGCTGGTGCCTTCTTCATTAGCATATGGGAGGTCCTTAGCGGCAGTCTGGCTTCATTTCTGCTTGTGTGCGAGCAACAACTCTTAATTATGTGATGTGGGTAGGGTTAATTTTTGCTTTTAATTTACCAGACGGGCTCATTAACCGGACAGTCACAGTGCCCTACAATAATGGGCTCACTGTCCCCATAGGAGAGGAGGCTTTGTTCTCGAGTGCCAGGGAGACACACTTAGCCTGCGCAGCAAAGGAACCTACCAGTGGCATCTTCTTCGGTCATCAGTTACAACAAACTAACTTAACCTGTGCAGACAGTGACGCTCTGCTTGATTAACTTCAAAAAGATCATTTCTAAAATTTCTCGTGATCTTTCTGGACACCAGGATTGCTATTCAAGGGATGATTTGTTTATTTTTAAAAAATTAAGAATTTTTATGAGTACAGGTTTGGACTACATGATTATGTTCATCATAGGAAGTTGGAACACAAGCATAACACATCTTCATTCTTTTTACTTCTTTCCCCTGGGGATGTTTTATTTAGAGGCCAGTTGGATTTTAGCCCCTGATAAAGTGAAGGGACAGTTTACAAAAAGAAGAAAAAAAAAATATATATATACATACATATGTAGCAAGAAATTTTAAAAATTTGAATATACGTGCCAGTGAGTTACTAATTTTTGCTAAAGTTTTTAAAAATGGTATTTACTTCTGGGATATACAGAAAATTTTATACTCTTCCAGGCCTGGGAGGTGGGGAGTGATTGCTGGGGGGTGTGAGTTTCTTTTGGATGATGAAAGTGATGTAGAGTGAATATTGGTGATAGTTGCACAGAGCTATGAAAATACTAAAAACCATTGACCTAGTGTCAGGGTGAATTAGCACTA